GGCGGGAAGCTAATCGCTTGAGTCTGGCGCCTTAGACCACCCGCCGATCCGTGCGTCAGGTGAAGTAACAGATTTGAGTGGAAGTTGAACTTGATTAGTGGGAGATAGTGGTAAGAATTTAGAGTTTCTCCAGTTTGCTGTTTGCAGTTGTTTGTTCGTTCCGACCCAAAAGGTTGTTGCTTATGAGATAAAGACTGTTCAGAATGCAAGTGATTACTATTTATAAATCTCCATATGTGTAGGGACAGGTTTTTCGGCATATTGAAGTAAATACAATTAGCCGGCTCTGTTAAATTCTGTTCATACGATTTTGTATGAGACAGTGGATGATGTGAAAGATAAGGAACTTGTATGTTACTGAATTGTTTCTAAATTACGGCAGGTGTGTGATCGGTGTATAGCTGTGAGTAGTTGTTGATTTAATTAAAAGATGCTACAAAGTGCTTTCTCATTTCGTTATTTAATAGATTACTTTTATTAAGGCGCTTTGGGCACTGAATGCGTAATTTTGTGGAGTCGTTACTATTCGGAAAATGCAGATGAAAACTTCTTGGGTTTTGAGGAGTAGTCTTGGAATTGAAAGTTACAAGAAATTAATATGCATAAGTGCTTTTTAAACAATATATGCCAGTAAATGAGTGGTTATAGAGGTTGTAGAGGTAATAATTTATTTGTTCCTTCCTTTTTTCTTTTGGAAAGAAATTCGTCTGTAATTAAAAATGCACACTGTTTGAAATTTCTCAGCAGAGTTGACAGGTTTCTGGCACTGTTGCTTCATGAGTGGAAGGTATACAGAGTTGCTGCAGAGGGACGATTTTGCAACACAGTCTGATGCGACGTCAGTACAAGAGGAAGAGGCTGTAAACTAGTGTTTTAAAATAGTTTTGCTTATCAAAAGCTGTTTTGCTAGCACTCACGAATAAAATGCTTGTCTCTGAAAATCGAAATTGCGACACTTTGATGACGGTTATAGACGGAAGTAAAGATTCGTTCACTTACTTGTTGTACTTGTCAATCCCGCAACTTCATTACACCAATTGCAGGTCTTTCAACAAATTGTCAATAAAGTCTCTTTGTTAAAAGAATCGTAACAAAGCATTTTCATCACGTCACATACGGCTGCTTCTCATCCTTGCAAACCCCAGCAGTTCCCGTTCCGTTGCACATAGCGCATGTCGCAGGACAGTACTGCACAATAATGCTCTTCAACGATGCTGTACCAAAACGGTTTTGGGACTGAAGTTCAGTACGATTGATAAGCGGATCTAAATAGCATACCATGTAAAAGTTATGGCGCTGAATCCAAGAAGAAACTAGAAATTATCTGTTTAATTATTTTATTAATGTTCACTGAACTGAGCTTGAAGGCAAACTTGCGTAGTGATAAACACACTTACGGTTAGCATCGTCTTTGCAGTTGTAACGGGGATCTTCGCAGCAAAACTTGCAGGTTTTTCGGCACATTGGAACGAGACTTGCAAACTCTGTTTTCTCGCAGACGGCTGGTCTATAGCGCTTTACGCATCAATCTGGGAATAATATTTCTAAGTGGCCAGATTAATACATGTGTCGATGACTTCATCGATACTGATCGGGATACGGTGAAGTACAA